TTAAAATTTCGTCGGAACAAAGTTACGGGAAAAATCAATTAACAAACGGAGACTTAACAATATTATAAATATATTTACAAGTAGTACTTGACTTAGTTTTTAAACAATTCTGTTCAAAAGTTAGTCATATACAAATTTAATACCTTTAATGTGAATTATACTAGTGGGCTCTAATGTACAAGTCTTGCTTATCATGACACATTTTTCTGACAGTGCCAAGATGAATTTTACCTCAAACACACGACTCAAACACTTGTAATGTTTATGCTGTTCCACCTTTATGGGTTTTTTTTTCAATTTTTATAAAGTGTTTATTATTTTGAACAATTATAATAAGTTGGGGAAAATTAATTCCTTGCCTTTAAAAAGTTTAATAAGTAAATCCTGGAGTAATTTTGAGCTTTTTAACTTCCATCCATCCTCCTATAAATTGATAAATTATCACAAGGAAGATCTTTATTTGCCTTTTTCAACACAAAACATTACAGAACTTTATATCTTGTTTGGGCTGGTACTGTAACAGAATTTAATATTAACTTTTAAAACAATGACTAGGATGATACAGAAAATAGACAAAAGTAATATACTTAGAAACAGAATGCATAAAATATTTGAAAAACAAGATTTTTGAACTCTGAATATCTTTATCATCTGTATCTGCTATTAGAATAAAATGACTAGTGCAATGTTTGGTATATAAATTTTTCTTATTAAAAAAAGGTTTTTTAGTATCACATTTCATGCCAACATAAAATGGTTCTTTATAAAATTACAGTTTTGGAATTTTAATGTTTTTATGATCTGATACAGACAAACAGCATGCAAATCATCCTATTTTGTTCACAGAAGATTTGCTAACGAAAGTGAACAATGTATACAGTAATTAAGAAAATGTTAATTTTGCTTTGCTGCCAAATAACTGATGTGCATGTTTTATATATACTAGTTGACTCATCCATTCAATGAGGGGTAAACATAAGGACCCTTGAGGAATGACATGGAGGGGAGGTCAAATCCAAGTGCCATCCTCTGTATGTCACTGCTGTGGGGACTAGGGGTACATGCTAGGTTTAGTGAAAATTGGTTCAGCAGTTCAGTTATAAGTGGATACATGCACATTTGAGTAGAATGACATTACTGTGAAGAGAATATTATTGCTTCTACAACATATACATAAATTAGATAAACAATGAGAATGTATGTTACATTTATAGACAATAATAAAAAAAAGTAATTTTAGGCCTATAGTCATATAATTAAAAAAAAAACATTCCTAAAGTCTACATATAGATGCACACAAATATTATGAAATACATTTAAAATGTTGGTTCATTGTTTCAGTGTTACCGCTCTCATAAAAAGAAAAACATCAATTAGAATGAAGTTAAAACAGAACCATTAATTTTTATAATATGTGTTTGATGTTATGGTATTTTCACAATAAAGAAATTAATTTAAAATCTTAAAATCAATCTAAGTTTCAAATTTTGAAAGCTTAAATTCCAACATAAAATTTCAATAAAGATTTTGAGATGAAATCTTAATAAATAAAACATTACTTGAAATGAGAGAAGTTGAATATGTAGCACAAATACAGAACAACAAATGTTACACTGTATATCATTTACCTTGTTCACTTGTTTTTATACTTGTTACTAATATCATCTATTGATCCTTGCAGTAAAATCTCTTCAAAGAATTCTATTACTTATATTCCAGAAAATGCTGATTGGAAATACTTTTAAACTCAGCATAGTAATTATAATGTTTATAATTTAGTACATATACCAATAACACACACAATAAAACAGTGCAGGCAATAAATTGTAACAATACCATCCACGAGTGTACAGAACAGGTACTACTTTGACAAGAATACAATAGTAAGGTGACAGAAAATCCATACTCTTTGGGTATTTATCACCAAGATCATATTTACAAAACTTCAAATTTTGCACCACATGGATTTTACTGGTAATAAATCTTTAATAAAATGACATTATTTACAAGCTAAATGTTAATTTACAGTCAAGTAATTATATTGTGGGAAAGCTGTGTACTTCCAAGTTGATGTACTGTTAATATTAAAAAAATGGTAATTAGAAACAGATACAAGTGTAGTCTTTGACTGATCACAGCATAATAAAAGGAGATCATATACATATGTCAATGTCAAAAATGTACATTTTTATATGATAAACATAGTTAAAAGCAAAAAAATCACAATACTGTGTTGTATAAACACATCCTGTATGATATTAGAAACACACACCCAAATGCATCAATTTGAAAACACTATCCAAAAATCATAAAACATACACTGATGATACTAAAAAGGTGACCACACTTTGAAATGAACATATGATTTGGTAATATGAAAACTAGTTAGTACAAAGCAGACTGGAAAAATATTTTGGTACAAATGAATGAAGAATAAACAAGCTGATAAGGGGAGCAGAGAAAACAACGGCAATCAATCAAAAATAGACTGGGAGTAGAATAAGATTCTATGCAATTAAAACATCAAATATTAACAGTAGCTAATTACACAAAAATCTTTGGAGTTAGCTATAAGTAAAAAAATATATTGTATTTTGAAATTAATACAAAACTTAATTTTGTGACTAATTAAAAGTTACATAATTTAATGCCATAAATAGTTAAAAAGCAAACACAAAAGCAGCCATCTTCACCCTCTCCTTAGTCATGGCAAGTATATATTAAAACTGTCAGGTATTTTAAATGTATCAACAGAATATTATTTTTCTTTGGTTTCGGGTTAATAAACATTATGAATATTATTTAAATGTCAATAAACTGAATAAATGAAAAACAAAACCACAACTAAAATATAAATAGAATCATGATGATGATGATACTATCCAAGTAACATGGAAGCAACAATTTATACAAAAAATATCTAAAGATCAGTTTCAATTTCTTACAATAACATCCAGAAACTAGTAAATATTTATCATTAAAATTTCAGTTAAATGAATCTAAGATGAACATAATACCACCTGTAACAAAGTCATAATATTAATAGTTTGGTTTTGAGTTTACTTACTGATTAAGTGTTATTTTATTACACCTTACAGCTTTTACAGTGAGAAAGATTTATTTTAAGAACAGGTACAATGTTTCAATGACTGTCACAATCATTCTCAAGTACACAAGTTTTAACAGTAAAGAAGATTTTAGTATTTAAATCAACAATCTAACAATATATTTAAAATTGTGATCAAAACGTTGTACCTGTTCTAAAAATAAACCTTACTTATTGTAAAAGCTGTAACTTGTAATAAAATAAATTTATGAAATGATAGATATCTGTTTATCATCTGTTTTTTTAAATATTTTTCCAACTTGATCATCAATACCATGTTTTATTTACATAAAGAAGACTTGAATAACAAATTCTATACTGATCAAAATATTTGTTAAAAGTTTAACTATAAAACCTGCAAAAAACAACAAGTATTACAGCATATATGTCAATATTATAACAAATCAACATGGTTTAATAGTTTTAAAAAATCAGTGAATTTGTCAGTCATATGAAAAATTACTCTTGTGTAAGCATATTATCCACAATCCTCACCATAAAAATACTTAACCAATACTCTCCTCATGCTGTATATAAACAGGATAAGTTAATTATAGGAAAAAAATCATTAAACAGATGTAACATACTACATAAAGATAATCAATATGTTGCTCTTTGCCAGAGAAAGAGACCAACTGAATTATATTTTCCTTAAAGTATACAATTTCCCATGTCACCAGAGCTTCAGTATATATAGAACTGTTTTCATAAACTTATAGTAGTTAACATTTTATACACAAGTATTAGTTGTACTCAATTGTTAAAAATGATTATTTAGATACAATTTAAATTCTAGTACAAGGCAAAAGCTACCTCAAAAATTACAACACAAAATAAGAAATTACATGTTAAGAAAGTTATATACATGGTAAAGTGAGTATATTAACAACCTGTTTTAAAGTACCAAAAAATATTTTGTTTAAAAATATAAAAGACATATTTAAAAAGAAGTAGTGTTTCTTGGCATTTAATTGTGTATGATTTGATAGTTTTTAGTCTACCTTACTCCAAATTTAAAGTACTAAACTTTGTTATATTACATTTTAACTTAACGGGTATAATAGTGGAGTTATGTCATTGGAAATGCCAGCATTTCATGAACATGAAAGTTTTTCTACCAAACTTTCTCAGAACATAAAGATAATTAAACAGTAATTAAAATACTTGGATGAATACATATGTACCGTACTTGTATTTTTCAAGTAGACTTCCTTATATCCTGCTACAGAATTTGAAATTAATCATCTTCTCCAGAAAATTTAACCAATTCTCTAAAAACAATTTGCTGTAAGGTAGTCGTATATAGTAACAATAGAACATTTACTTATTTTTACAATCCAGGAAAGAAAACTAGTTGGGAAAAAATTTAATGACAATTTATTTTTGTTATAAAGTACTTGAAGGTCTTGGTTTGCTTTAATAAGAAGTAAAGAAAAAAAAAGTAAATGACTTAACTAATATTCAACTCTTATCTCAACTTTTAGCCTTTGATAAATTATCTATCTTAAAATTCATTCAGAATGGACTTAACATTAACATCATTCAAATAGGAAGTAGCTTTTACACTGACAAAAAACAATCAACCAAAACTTACACTTCTTGCTTCTAATGATACCAGTGTGAAAACTCATAAAGTTGTATACAGCTTTAATTTAAAAGACAGCAAAATATTTAAGTTAAAACTAGAAAAATAAGCTTCTTATCTTAACTTTTATTTTACATCTAAGTACATAACTGTACTTATACATTGAAATTTTGTTGAACATAAGTTTATGTTACTTGAATATTCTCAAAGCAAACATTAGATAGATATTTTCAGAGTAGACATTACCAAGATATTTTTAAAATAGATATTATTGGATATTTCCAAGTTTCCTATACATTCTCACAGTAGATGTTACCTAGATATTACATGAGTATTCTAAGAATAGACATTACCTAGACACTCTTAGAACAAATGTTATTTAGACATTCTGATAGCATACATTATCTGGATATTCTCACAATGTATGTCATCTAGATTTTCTCAGAGTATACACTACCTGGATATTTTCAGAGTATATATATTACCCAGATAATCCTAGAGTAGATGTTACCTGGATATTTTCAGAATATATATTACCTAGATAGTCCTAGAGTAGATGTTACCTGGATATTTTCAGCATATATATTACCTAGGTAATCCCAGAGTAGATGTTACTTCATATAATTATTTTTAAATGCTCTTATTTTAGATCAAAAGTAATTATGTCGTATCATCAGTATTCGGCCACTTTAGATAAGCGACTCTGATGTTTTAATACTAATTTTGCCATTCATCTTTCCAATCTGAATGTAGTTGTTAATGAATTTTGAATTGAAGCATTGAGTAAAGATACTACTCTAGCTTTAAACTGGTATTAAGATAAAACTATAACTTAATATTAAATACAAGCAGTGATTGTCTTAGTCAGATTTAATAAAAAATAAAGATTAGTATTAAAACATTCACACCAGGCCCTTTACGATTTTACAAAATCAAAAAATTAATGATTATATTGAAAAATTGCATTATATTATGTCTAAAGCAATATTCTCCCAAAAAAAACCTGCTAATCACCATAAATTTGCTCGCAGAGGTATAGGAGTTATGAGCAAAAAATACTCAAACGTTGAGAGTGTTACATGTGTATTTAATTCAGGAGATTTATTTCATACAACTCTGTGCAATTCAGAATAGGTTATTCTATTTCTTACATGTTAACCACACACATTTACAAAATAATTTTTTATAGACCATGAAATAGCTTTCCAACATTTTTACTGAAATTGATGCTACTCTTTATGGTTCCTGAGAACTCCAGAATTCTCAAAGAATCTTCTACATGAAATCTTTCAATGAAATTTGACAAGCTACAGGATTTCATCTTATGAAAAAAGCAACTTGTTCTGATTATGTTGCTCTTAAAAACTCTAAGTAGGTATTCTCACAAATACAATTAAGAAAGTGATTACTGATAATTGGACCATGGTTAAAAATGTTATGAAATTGAGTATCATATCTTTACTTATCATGATCAACATCCATAGACTCACTGACCACTGGCTTCTGTATTCTGCAAGAAAATTTAAAGTTAAAACAAAATTAATGCAATTTGTTCTAAAGTATTATATTAAATAACTTTCTAAATATTAATCTTTAAGAAATTTAGGATTTTATTAGCTTAAGATAACTTATAGAAAATTACAATTATGTATGCTTAACATAATTAATGTGGTTTAAATTATTTTGTGATACATAATAACAGATTACTTATAACTACTTATAGGCCTAAAAGTTGGTTGTACCGAAAACAACTTTGTTAATTAGCTATTTTTTTAAACGATACAGCTCTTTATGAAAAGTTTAAAAATCCTATTTCTGAAACACTGTTATAAGACTAATATAATACTAAGCAGTAAAGTACAATGCACAACCATAAGCTACAAAGAGTGTAAAAACACCTGCTCAACAAAGTAACAGTGTTATATTGTAATAAATAAAGTGAAAAATTGTCTGCTTAAAGGAGTGAGTACTGATCTCAAAATGCTGGTGTTGTTAGGAGTTCTAGGTTAAAGTTCTGGTCAGAGCAGATTACTCTTAATCTATTTCAGAATGTTATAAATAAGTGTCCAAAGAAAAATAAGAGAATGGTGTATATGTGAAGTAATTATTGAGACTGTGATGTTGAACATGAGATATGCCAGGATAAGGAGTCCTCTTGAAATTAGTGTAGGAGAAAACATGATATTCATTTCAGTGATTAAATCTTGAGTCTCAAGACACTAGTGTGAAATGGGACCCTGGGTTAAGTCAGATTGCATAATTTTCATTGCTAAAAAATTTACACAACTTGCTAGAGCATAACATCAATTTTTTAGATTATTAAGAAAATAACTCAAAACACCGAATTCCTTGTAAAGATGAAGAGAAACATACAGTGACCGAAATTTCTATTTATGCTGTTCCTTAGTCTTAACACACACACATATTGATTTTAATACAGATCTGTGGTACAATCTTTCAATTAAATCATTATTATACAAATTCTCAATTTTATACTAACAGACAAAGCTACATAAGAACTTAAAAGGGCATAGAAATCTCAGGTGTATTTAAATTGATATGTACATATTTATCAAAATATTAACTTAGAAACTATCCTCCTGATATTAATTCCATTGAAAAATTTATAATGAATATGTTTTCTAAGACAATTTAAGTAAGTATACTCACTGGTCTTGTTCTGCAGCTACAAAAAATGATGGCACAGTGGTTATGGGGTTTTCCAATCCACTTTCTTTTTGCTTAGTTTCTAGCAGTGAACAACCAATTACGTGTGCTCTTTGTTTGATACTCGGCCAATGTGAGGCTAAAAACAGATGAATAATGATGTTTTCAAATTATTGCATTTTTATATGACTAGAAACAGTAAGATGTTTTTGAAATTCAGCAAACTGTAGATGTCTAAATTAAAGAGACTGTAGTAGCTGGTTACAAATGCTGAAAAGACAGGTGTAATACCAACTCAAGTCATGAAAGTCTTGTCAGACCACCACAATATGTTGCCAGTATGAACCAGCAAGGAAATTATTAGGATCAACTGAAAGACCCTCTTCTAAAACACATCACTTGCTGGGAACTAGCACAAGCTGATGCAATTAGTTTTCCTACAGTGAAAATCAGTTTATTACAATGTGTCTTAGGCTAACACCATTAAATGCTAATAATGTACTAATCATTGTTAAATATATTACATCAAAAAAACAACAACTAACTTTCCATATCATTTAATTTTGCTATCCAGAATAAAAACATAAACATAAAGGAGGTTAAGGATTGGATATGTGAGCCACTTGCTACTATTTTTTCTAAGTCCTTGAATAGTGGGCTGGTACCAGAGAATTGAAAGTTAGCTAATATCACTCCTCTTTTCAAGGGAGGTAATAAAAATTCTCTCAGTAATTGTAGGCACATTAGTCTTACATCAGTTGTGGGAAAAGTTTTAGGAAATTTTTATAAAAGATGCTTTGCAAAGTCATTTAACAAAGTTTAGAATTTTATTGGATAGTCAACATGGTTTCTCTAAAGGAAAATCTTGCCTTACAAATATTTTGACATTCTCTGAAAATGTTACTTTTTATGTAGGTAAGAGTGTAGATTTGGTGTATCTAGATTTTCAGAAAGCATTTGACAAGGTACCACATAAAAGGCTTGTAAAAACATTATCTATAGTCTTGGAGGAAATTGGATAGAAGAGTGGTTGGATGGAAGAAAGAAGATGGTTGTTAGAAATGAAATTCATCAAACTGGATTAATGTTACATGTGAGGTACCTCAGGGCTCAGTCTTAGGACCTTTGCTCTTTTTGGTTTACATCAATGACATAGATAAAGGAATGGTCAATAAATTACTTAAATTTGCAGATTGATATTAAGGTCTTGGGTGTTGCTAGCTGTGAAGAGGATGCTGTTGATTTACAAAAGGATTTAGATCATTTAGTTTGTTGGGGAAATAAATGACAAATGGGTTATGATTATAATAAATACAAGATAATGCATGTGGGTTATAATTATAATTTGGATGGGAATAACTTTAACAGTGTTATGAAGGAAAGGGATCTTCGTGTAATAGTTGATCAGTCTCTTAAGCCATCCAAGCAGTGTGCTGTTGCTAGTGGTAGTACAAATAGGATTTTAGGTTGTATCTACAGAAATATTGAATACAAGTCTAAAGAGGTTAAATTTCATTGTATAGGTTACTGGTTAGGCCACATTTGGAGGATTGTCTTCAGTCTTGCTCTCCTTACCTTAGGAACTACATTGAGGAGAGTTACTAGAATGGTACCTGCGATGAAAGGATTGTCATATGAGGAGAGGATGAAATCTCTCAAATTGTTTTCTTTTGAAAAAAGAAGAGTTAGAGAGTATCTGATTGAGGTGTTTAAGATTGTAAAGGGAATTGATAGTGTTGATGCTTCATCTTTTTTCATACTTAACAGTGAGAATAGTAGAACTAGGGGAAACAAATATAAACTTTGACAGGGTAGGAGTCATCTTCAGCTAAGACAGTTTTATTTTTCTAACAGTGTGGTTGGCCTTTGGAATGGGTTGCCTTCGGATGTTATGGAGGCAGTAAATTTAAGTGAGTTTAAGAGAAAGCTAGATAACTGTATGAATGATAAGGGCTGGCTTTAAGATGTTTTTTGAATTTATTAACAGTTTTAGTTTAGTTTACAGGATGGGACAGCTGAGATGAATCATTAGCTCCCATGTTGTCCCAAGATGTTAAGTTATGTTATCTTGGGCAAAGCCAGACAGTAAGAATGTTTAACAACCATAAATCTTCTATTAACACCAAACAGGTCTCCTGGATGTTCTATGAAGTTCTACCACCAATTTCTATCTAATTTCAACAGCTACATACCTCAGTAACTGCATGGAAGAACATAATTTAAAATTTGTCAAAACTATAGAAATGAGTAAAAACTAAGCTGGTAGAGTTAATAAAATGTAGCATTATGCAAAATCTCCTAAATATGTTATACCTTGTAAATCATTGAGCATGTGCAATGCCTAGTTGTTATATTTGTAAATTATAGAAAAATTCGAATTGCACTTGAATGTTAGCCATTAGGCACATTCAAACATGAAATCATATGTCAAATGTATTTGATCACCATTCACAGGAAGAACCAGACTAAGTGCAACCAAAACACTGTATGGTATTTATGTACAGTGAAACACACTGTTACTACCCTTGTATACTACAAGCAGTGGTTTGCAGATAAGCTGTCATTCTGAGATACATACCACCTCCACGAGCATGTAGCAGTCTTGAAAGTGGTATACTGTTCACCAAGTTAGTATCATTGTGAGTTCAGTTACTGATCTTATATCAGTGTAACAAAATGCAACTACATGTATCTTAGGTAGGCTCAATTACACATCCAATAACATCTTTGATAGGGGTTACATCTTGATTCTACTGATCCACATTAAGGTATTATTAGGAGACAGGTTATGCAACCTGTTCTAAAATAACCATTTTATTAATTACCTTCATATTTATCCACTTGATTTGCCATTCTGTTATACATAATATAACATGTGTTAATATTACTTTTACTATATATAAACCTAAGGTTGATGACAAAAGGTCACAGAAGGCCTAATTCAAATACAAGGCTTTGAAACACGTTTTCAGCACATTTGAAATCTGGTCACATTATATATTTGTTTTTAAAGAAGAAATATTTACCTAATGTGTATTTAAAAAAAAACTGATTTTTCTGTTCTGATTATTCTTAACACATCTACTTCCCTGTACAAAACATGAACATTCATGCCCTTTTAAGTACAGACATATGACTGACTGGCTTTCATTTATGATCTCATTTGTGCCTGACACTTATATTTACTTTTCATTATTTGCTTTCATTATTCCACTGAAGGCAAATTTCTTTCACTTATGACAATAATGTTTAATTTTTATCAGTATATTAGTTTAAGTTGATGCATTCACTAATGATGGGAACTACTTGCAACTTACATTTTAAAAAATAAAGGAGGTAAAACTGAAACTGGTTAACAAATTTTCTTTATTTAATTAAGGAACAAATGCAATGTTGAGAAAAGTTTGGTCCTTTTTAGAAATAAAGGGAAATATTCTGAGGAAATCCTTTGCAATTTCAAGCATTCTTTTGAGGTCAGTGATTATTACAGCCAAGGGTTAAAGATTGGGAGGCATAGATAAAATTCTTAATTACTCAAGAACTTCACTAGGCTTGTGTTTGTGGCTTTACATAAATATTTTCTAATCAGATAACAAATTTCCAATGGTATTTAAGCATTACAAATCCAAAAATCTGTTGTGAAATTCCAGACATCTACTTACAAACTGCCACTACAAGTGCCATATAGTATTTCAATACATAATTTTGCAAGACTACTTTTATGCAATATGGACATTTTACTGTAAAGACAAAAATATATTATAGTAATCCTATGTGAATGAATGGGGTTCCAAGCACGTATGCCAAGACCTTTTACAAAATGCCATTCAACACGATATTATGTATGTGATGTCAGAGTTATTAATTATTCATTTTACCCTACACTGCTGATTTAGCAACAGATTGTTTTAGAGTAAATACCAGATACAGTAAAAGGATACTGAAAAAAACTGTATATTTATGTTTCAAATATTCTGATGGTTGTGCAAATGTAAAAAGCAGACTATATGATGGACAAAAGTATTTTTATTACTTACATGAACATCACCTTGCACACTGAGTCAGACTAACATCATCAACTCACAGACATATCTTGAGTATAAATATTTTTGTAACACACCCAATTTTTTAGGTATAACAGACTTGCACATTTTACTAACAGGTTTCTTGAAGATAAAGAATTCAAGCAATCAGAGTATTTATTGTTCAAGGAGTAAGAAAATTGGTATGAAAGAGAACTGTTTTATGAAGCTTGTAAAACTTACCATCTGGAGAATCAGTAAAATATGAATATACGCTAGTTAAGTATTAGGAATGAATGATTCCTGACCCCAAAATTAATGGCATTATAAACTTGTATCATTATAAGAGAATACTTACTGAATACAAAGAAATTCCTATGAAAATCATGTATCTGAATCTTCTATATACATATATGTAGTGTTTAAACATAATGATGAAACTAGACTAGTCAGAAAGGAAGGTCAAATATAGCAAGAGCTGGTCATCAGTATCAGGTTTCTTTCTTTTGAAAAATAGTGATTATGATAAATGTGAAAGGTTTATTTCCAAAATAACAGAGAAGATTGTACAAAATAATTGCTTCTGTTCTCATACATATAAATATGTAAAACAAAAACAGTTTAAATCAGAAATATAAGTCACATTTTCTATGATTTAGCCCAGTTATGGCTATTTTGAGATAAAGAATTTTTAGAGGAAAAAAAAAACATCATAGGAAAGAACAAACCACATGAAATGCATTACAATTTGTGGCGAAATAAAAGTACTGGTCAAAACAACACTCTAGAGCTAATTTTTACTTGTTATGAGGTTTTATAATTGCAACTTTGTCTCAAAACTAAATACCTTGTATGGATATTACTTGCTGAAGCACTTCCACTGCCACCTGGTGAGGCTGTCGCATAACCTCTTCAGCCTTCAATGAGCAGTTATTCTCACCCAAAAGTGTGGCAACACACACTTGTGAACAATCACAGACAGCTGGCAAATCGTAACTGTTAAAATAGTTCAGTCTTAGAAACAAAAGTTTGTTCAGTGTATGAAACTTATCACTTCATTCTGTCAAAACTGTACGTGTTCAATCATTGTCAGACATCACACACATTTTCTGATTTTTACAGGAATTCTTGTCTATCATGTTCAATATTATAGCTTAGTAAGAAGTATTATAATGCAGATATCAGAATTTGAAACCTATTATCCTATAATTCACTACTGTGATTGTCAGTGTTTTAAGGAAATAATAGTTGATGAATTAATTCTCAAATTACACAACAATTCTGAGGTTAAAAAAATACATGAGAATAGTAAAACATTGTACATTGGTTCAAGTTTGTCAATGTTTCAAATTCTTAGACAGTACTTGACGTATATTGAAATATTATATAAGATGAAATAATAAGAGAAGATAAAGTTTACTAACAATAATGGATGCTTTCCTCACTTGCAGTTCTTTCCATTAATCTGCATTGATATAAATATTAGGTTCATTTCTGAAGTATTTCTATTGTCTGAATTAGACTTAACCCGATGACTACCGGTACTAACTTTCCTAGTAGGCAATGCAAGTGTGAGG